CAGCTCCAACCATCTCCGCTGTCTCTAATTGAGATCCTTCTGTTTGAACAAGTGCTGGAGGGTAGGATGATCAGTAAACACCTCATAAAACACACCATAGAGATAATGCCTCCAAATCTTCAACGCGTGAACAATGGCAGCCAACTCCAAATCATTAACATAGTAGTTCTTCTCATGGGGTTTCAACTGACGCGAATCATAAGCAATCACTCTACCCTCCTGCATCAAAACACACCCAATGCCGATCTGAGAAGCATCATAATATACGGTATAAGAACCAGAATCTGACGGCAAAACTAACACCAAAGCTGTGGTCAAGGCACTCTTGAGCTTCTGAAAGCTCACCTCACACTCATCCGACCACCTGAAAGGAGAACCCTTTTGGGTTAATTTGGTCAAGGGTGATTCAATAGAAGAGAAACCCTGCATGAACCGACGGTAATAACCCGCCAAACCAAGAAAGGTACGAATCTCTGTGGCTGAGGACGGTCTGGGCCAACTCTAGATCGCCTCTATCTTCTTTGGATCCACCTGAATACCCTTACTGAATACCATGTGCCCCAAGAACGCCACTGAATTGAGCCAAAACTCACACTTGAGAACTTAGCATAAAGCTTCTCCTCCCTCAACCACTGTAACACAATGCGCAAATGCTGGGGATGCTCCTTCTGGCTACGAGAGTACACCAGGATATCATCAATGAATACAATAACAAACGACTCAAGATAAGGCTAGAAAACACTGTTCATTAAATGCATGAATGCTGCTGGGGCATTGGTCAGCCCAAAAGACATCACAAGGAATTCATAATGACCATATCAGGTCCTGAAAGCTGTCTTATGAATGTCCGAGTCCCTAATCTTCAACTGGTGATACCCTGACCTCAAATCAATCTTGGAGAACACCCTCACTCTTGAAGCTGGTCAGATAAATCATCAATGCGAGGTAAGGGATATTTGTTCTCTATTGTAACTTTGTTCAATTGCCTGTAATCAATGCACATTCTCATGGTGCCATCCTTCTTCTTAAAAAATAGAACTGGTGCACCCCAAGGTGACACACTAGGCCAAATAAACACCTTATCAAGGAGTTACTGAAGCTGCTCCTTCAATTCCTTTAACTCCACTAGTGCCATACAATATGGTGGAACAGAAATGGGCTGAGTGCCCGGCACCAAATCAATACCGAAGTCAATATCCCTATCCTACAACATGTTCGACAGGTCTGCAGGAAACACATCTGGAAAATCCCTCACAACCAGAAATGACTCAATAGTAGGAGTCTCTGCTCTGACGACCCTCACAAAGGCCAAATAAGAAACACAACCCTTCCCAACCATCTGCTGGGCCTTCAAGAATGAAATCACTCTACTGGGGACATAATCCAATGAACCTCACCACTCAATCCGTGGCAACCCCAGCATAGCTAATGTTACTGTCTTAGCATGACAGTCCAGAATAGCATGACACGGAGACAACCAATCCATGCCCAATATCACATCAAAGTCAACCATACTAAGCAGCAACAAATCCACTCTAGTCTCTAGTCCCCTAATAGTCACTATACATGACCGATATACATGATCCACAATAATAGTATCGCCCACCGGCGTAGATACATGAACAGATGAAACAAGAGACTCGTGGGGCATATCCAAATAATGAGCAAAATACGACAACACATATGAAAAAGTGGAACCAGGATCAAATAATACAGAGGCATCCCTGTGCAAACTAAGATAATACCTGAGATCACAACATTTGAAGCAATAACATCGGGTCTGGAGGGGAGTGCACAAAAACGGGCCTGATTGCCACCTGATCGGCCTCCCCCTCTAGGGCGACCCCTAGCTAACTGAGCTCCACCCCAAGCTGGCTGGGCGAGTGGTGAAGTAACTGGTGCTGAAGTAGAAGGCTGACCCCTCTACCACTGAGCTGGACCTCCCACTAGGCGGGGACACTGCCTCCTGATATAACCAAACTCTTCACAATCGTAGAAACTCCCCGGTGCTAGTGGTGGGGACTGAAGGGAGCCCTGAGCACCGGGATAACTGGTAGATGAACCTGTCATGGATGAACCCTGAGCTGATGGTGCATGAGTCGAACTCAGAGCTAGGAGGGCACTAAGATATGAGTGGCCCTGATGTGAACTATGAGAACCACGGCCAGACGATACATCACAGTGGGATGGGCGAGCCGTCTGGGCATGCCTGTAAGGACGACCTTTGCCATAGTGGAACTGACCTCCAGAAGGAACACCACCAAAACTAACTGATCCCCGAGGCCTCTTGGCCTCCCTCTTAGCCCGTTCCTGGCGGCGAACATACTCTATCTCCCGGGCAATGTCAAGAACCTCCTCAAAGGTAGCACCGGTCACCCTCTCTCTATTCATAGGAATTCGTAGCTCATATGCGAGGCCCTCCATAAACCTCCTGATCATCTCCCTGTCTGTGGGAACCAACCAAAAAACATGATGAGCTAACTAAGAAAATCTCATCTCGTACTGCATCACAGTTATATCCTCCTAACGTAACTGCTCAAACTATCTACGCAGCTCCTCTCTACGGGATTGCGGTACATACTTCTCCAGAAAGAGAATGGAGAGCTGCTGCCATGTAAGGGGCGCTGCACCAACCGGCCTACACCTCTCATAAGCCTCCACCAAGTGAAGGCATCTCCAGTGATTTGAAATGTGGTGAACGAGACCCCACTGGTCTCCAGAATACCCGCTGTACGGAGAATCCTCTAACACTTGTCCAAGAAACCCTAGGCATCCTCCCCCTCTGCATCACTGAAAGTCGAAGGCTGGAGCCTCCCAAACCTCTCCAATCTATGCTGCTCATCATCCGGCATGACTGGAACCACACAATCCTGAGCAGGTACAATCGGCTGGGCTGGTGGTGCCCTAGGTGTCTGAAGTCCCTGTACCACCTGCTCTGGTGTACGGGCGGCGGGAGTTTGAGTATCTCCCTCGGCCTGGGAATTGGCTGCTATAGTAGAAACAGAGACCGCCTGAGCAAGACTGGTGCACACGGTCAGAATCTGAGCTAAGGTCTCCTGAAGACCTGGGATCACGAAGGGCACGGCTGGTGCCCGAGCTGGTCCCACTGGTGCATCCACAACTGGGACCTGATCCTGTACTGGGGCAACTGGTGTCTTTGTAGGTGCTGCCCTAGTTGGCGTGCGAGTTGCACCTCTGCCCCTACCACGACCCCTACCGCGACCTTGGCCTCTCGCGGCCCCAACTGGTGGTATTGATGGCTTTCCGTCCTGACCAGTAGCACGTGTCCTCACCATTCGTGAGAGAATAGAATAACACAAGTTTAGTTACCAGAATCAACAGGTTCGCACATAAGAATTCAAGAATGTGAAGTTTCCCAAGGGTTCTGTAGTCTCTCGAAGATAAGTACAGACGTCTCCGTACCGATCCGCAAGACTCTACTAAAGCTGCTCATGACTCGTGAGACCTATGTAACCTAGGCTCTGATACCAACTTGTCACAACCCAAAACTCTAACCCGTCGTGATGGAGCCTATCGCGGTACTAGGCAAGCCGACACCTTTTGAAACACTTTGAAATTTCATTAAAAGTTAAGTCAAAGCTTTTTCATACTAAAAACTTCATTAAAGAGTTCAACTCAAAAACAAAATGCGGAAAAGATAGCCCGACATCGGGGTGTCACTAAGTCATGAGCATTTAAAACCAGTCTATAATGAGAGTTTACAATGTTCTACCAAATACAAAAACAGAAAGAAATGATAAAGATAGAGGGCGAGTCAAGGGTTGCGGACGCTGGCAGCTACCTCATATGTCTTGTGCAACGAACTCAACGATCTCTACGATCGGTCTCACTTGGATCTGCACACAAGGTGCAGGGAGTAATGTGAGTACTTCCAACTCAGTAAGTAACAGAAATAAATAAGGAATTGAGAAGTAGTGACGAGCTATGCAAATATAATTATCTCAGTAACTTTCAAATAAGAACAATAAGGCTTTCAAATTTAATAGTCTAAGTCACACCAGTGCGTGCTCAAGTAAACCAGGTATCAAGTCTTCCAGAAATTTGTACAACAAGGACAAATAACAGCTAAGGCAATAATTAACTAAAAACAAGTACAACCTCTCAAGAAACAATCACTCAACTCAATCACTCGGCTCTTAGCCCTCAATAATCATACTCAATAGGTACCTGCGCTCACTGGGGGCGTGCAGACTCCGGAGGGGCTCCTTCAGCCGAATGCTATATCGCTGCGGCATGCAGCCCGATCAAATATATAATTAGCCATAAGGCTCGTTGCGGTGTGCAACCCAATCCAATATATATACCCTCACATAGCTCACAACTCGGCACTCAGGCCCTATCTCAGTCACCAACCTCTTCAGTCCCTCGGGCTCTCAAGAAAGCATAGAATTCAGCCCAAACAGAGATAATAACATGTATCAATGATGAATAGGAGGGGACAGAGGTAAAATACGCAAGTAATATCATGACTGAGAATGAAACAACAAATAGCAGTTAATTCAGCAAGTACACGGCCCCACTGTGAACACCTAATTTTTGCACTATTTTAACACCTCCTAAAGTTATTAGTATTTTGTTATTTTAATTGTTTTTCTCAAATTTTGTGTATTTAATTGCATATTTTCTATCATGAAAATACCATGAAAATAATAGTTCTTCCTTCATTTGTGCATTTTAGGAATCGACTAACTTTTCAATTGGTGAATCAATCTAATTAATTGATCATTTGAATAATTTATTTAATTAATTTATCTGTTTGTGTAAATTTAGTTTAATATGTAGGATTAAGGAAGAAATTTGGCCAATTTTGAAAGAAAAAGTGGCCAAGAGTGCAAGATAAGGGGCTGCCATTGAAAGGGTCCGAAACTACGTAGTTTTGCCTCAAAACTACGTCGTTTCATTAAGTGAATCAAGATTAAATCTCATCCATTCATCTCTCCCTCATCCAATGGTCCACAATCAATCTCCCAACTAGGTATTTAAGACTTAAAAATGCTGACATTTTGCGCCATTTCCCCCATAATTCTTTTCTTCTTCCTCTCTCTTCTCATTCTCTCCTCCCTTCTTAGAGAACCGCCGCCCGCCGCCCATCTTCGCCGGCCCGAAATCGCCGCCACCGGCGGAGCACCCGCAAACAACCCCAAAATCTCACCATCTCTTCTTCTCATTCCCCTTATTCCAAATCCATGACCCAAATTCCCCAAATCTGCACCAAAAATTGACAAACCTAAACCCTAGTTGCGCTGCCGCCTTTGCCCCGCCGCACGCCACTGCCGCCCATCGCCCAAACCACCCCAAAATTTCACCCTTTGATCCTCTCAACCTCCTCTTTCTATATCTTCAAACAAAATCCTTCAAAACCCCCTCAAAATCCACGAATTTTAGATCTAAGAAACCCTAGCCGCCACCTTTTTGCCCAAATTTGTGAAGTTCCGACCACCACCACCCTACAATACTTACATCAACGGAAAGAACTCCTCAAGACCTATCTATAGATAGCAATCTCAAGATGAAACTCCGACCACTAATTTTTCGGCCGCCGGGCAGCCACTTTTTGGTATCTCCGACGTCTCCTCGTGGCTCGAACAGCTTCAACCACGCTCCTTAGGTATTCCGTCATCTCTTTATTTAATTTCTGAATTTTTTTAGTTGTAATACGTTAGTTTCAAATTTTAATTTTAGTTTTTGATTTTTTTGGTTGTTTCTTGTTAATAAGAGTTTCAAGTTAGGTTTATTTAATTAGTTATCTCTATTTAGTTTAGTTGTTTGTTAGATTATCATGATTATACGGGATCTTTTGTGTATTAGTTAAATCATTTACTTAGTTAATCAATTGTTAGTTGTGTGAGTTTGTTTTAGTTTAAATTAATGGGGTAGTATTGATGTTGATAAAATCTGAAGTTTTTATGGGTTTGATCATGACTTAGGGTACTAGTAGCTTACTTTTGACTAGTAGGGTGGCTGAAATGACATTTTTTCTCCTTGCTTCTGCTATAGCAAATTTTCAGGCTGTCCTTTTACCTTTTGGACAGCCTTTGAACAGTGTTTAGCACAAAAAGTCTGTCCTTTTGGACAGATTTTTGGTGAACCAAAATCTGCCCAAAAAGTGGCTTTGTTTGCCTATTTAAGGGCTGCCCTTTCCTCATTTTTAAGGGGGACTCTAACACACATCTGCTAGACATTTTTACACACTACAAAAATACAGTTTCAGGAGTAAAAATCAGCAGCTGAACTTAAAGAAAGTAAGCTGAAATTATGATCTTTATGAGTGCTTCTTAAAGTGAAAACTCTTTCAAAAGGATTAAGTCTTTTAGAGTTGATTCTGGGCTTCTTCTCTAAGGTTTTTGGGGCTGTTTGGATACGAATCTGCTGCTATTTTTGCTCGTTTTCATTGCTGTTCTTTTAAGCTATTTTGTTGCTGTTTTTGCTCATCTCACTGCTGTATTTTTATTCTGCGAACCAGGTAATTCCTACATCTTTGTATTGTAGATTTTTGATAGTAATAAGAAGATCTGAACTTGTTCGGATGGACGAAGCATGTTGTACCTGATCTTTGCTTAAGAATAAATATTGTACCTATGTATAAAAATATGTAAATATGCAGTAGTTATTGCTTTTAGAAGATAACTCTCTACTTGTTGTTATCTAGTTGTTGAAAGTCAATTTCTCACCTTGCTGTACTTAAAAGTACTTAATCTACTTTAGGTGAGCATGTTGTAGATGTGAATCTAATTTCCTTAGTTTATAAAAATATCGTTGTTGAATTTTGCTCAAATCTTTATTGTCACGACCCATTTTCACAATAGGTCATGAGGGCGCCTGACACCCTTGTCAGGCAAGCCGATTGCGGAAAACACTTCTAAAATACTTATGTTGCTTTTAATTAGAATAAGTGAAATAAACACTCAATTTGGAGTTTAAACCAGGAGAGCTGAATACTGTAATAATATAATTACACAACCCCAAAATAATCGTCTACCAAAGTGTGTGCCAGAACCTGGTGTCACAAGCTAGGGCAACTAGTAGAATATACATCCAAAAGAATATCACACTACCCTACTGTCTGTATCCAAATAGACAGAAAATAATAATACAAAGAAAGACTTCTTCGGCTGCGGATCGACATGGAAGGAAAGCAGCTCACCGTAGAAGTCCCAAGTCCGCTCACGAATGCACACCAGAGTGATAACCAGATCCACCTGCCTCAGACCCTGTACATTTAAGTACAGAAGCGTAGCATGAGTACATAAACTATATGTACCCAGTAAGTATCCCGTCTAATCTCGAAGAAGTAGAGACGAGAGGTCGACTTGATACTTACTAAGGTCGAGTAAAATGAGAAGAATTTATAACAAGCAGTAATAACTCAGTTTATAGAAATTAGCAAGTTACGAGTGTCCATATATACATGGAAGTAAATATGAGGCCTAACCCACATTATAAGGGGTCACATAAGTCATGCGCATATAATCACCGAGGAACGTACGGCCCGATCCAACATAAAAATAGTAAATTGTGCACTGCCGAGGGTCGAACGGCTCGAACCATAGATGCATCTATTACTCCGCTCGCGAATCAACCGTGCGACGCGGTCAAATAGAAATAAACTCATTGCCACGCAATAACAACAATCACTACACATATGAGGGTGGCCGTACATAGAAATGCCAATTATTTTCTTTTAAGAACCAAATAGGTTAAGGGTCATTTTCTAATTTCATTCTTCTTAATCACAAGAGCTCATGGGTCCTAAACTACCCGAACTTAGCATGATAGTTGCTACGCACGGACTCTCGTCACCTAGTACGTACGTACCCCCGAATACAATGACAAATAATTCAATTATTATACCTATGGGGACAATTCCCTCTTTCAAGGTTAGAAAGGAGACTCACCTCGCTCCAACGCGCACTTCCAATATCAAAAACAAGTCCAAGCCCTCAAGTCGGAGCCAAACGATCACAAACTAGTTAAACGAAGTAAGAACTAGTCAGTATAAGTTTACAAAAATCAATTTCTAGCTATTTAAGCCATTTCCCAACCCTTTTCACAAGTTTCCTAAATTTCGACGCCGGGCCCACGTGCCCGGATTCCGATATTTTTCGAAGGAAATTGTTCTCTACAACCTAAGGATCAATAATATATCATTTCTAGTTCATTACATAGCAATTTACATGCTTAAATCATAGTTTTACTAAAACCCTAGGTCTAGCTCTAACCCTTGATTTTTACTTAATTTTAGTGTTTAATCTACCTAATGTTCATGTAATTAAACTAAGAATGGAGGGAGATCGCTTACCTTACAATACTATGTGGAAATCCTCTCTTTGGTAGCACCCAAATCGCCCAAGTGTGAAGTAGTGAGTGAAATAAATGACCTTGAGCTCGAATTAAAAGAGCTAACTGCCCTGCGGTTTCCGCTTCTACGGTTTGGGGACCGCATCTGCGGTCCTGCTCCTGCGGAAAGGAGGCTGCATCTGCGGCTCTGGGCTTTAAGCGACTGGACCGCTTCTGCGGTCTGAAGGGCGCTTCTGCGGAAACCGCTTCTGCGGTTTGGGCCGCTTTTGCGGTTCTGGCCCAATTTGGCTGGACCGCTTTTGCGGTCGAATTTCCGCTAAAGCGGAACCGCTTCTGCGGTTTCATGACCGCTTCTGCGGTTTTCCCTTGGCCGCTTCTGCGAAGGCCTGACCGCATCTGCGGTCCCGCTTCTGCGGCCCTAGAACCGCAGATGCGGTTATGACAGAAGCAGCAGTTCAGCCTCTTCTTCAATTTTTTAACTTCACTCGAGCCTCGATCGTTTGACGCTCGGGGCTCACGAGCCCCGCCAGAACATACCAACAAGTCTGAAATCACGAGATGGACCTACTCGAACCCTTGGAACTCCCAAAACAACGCTAAATCTTGGAATCACTCCCTAAAACCAAATGAATCAAACTATTGGATCTTCAAGTTCTTAATTCTCCTCTAACGGGTCAAAACGCCTTTAAACTACTCGGATTGGCACCAAATTTTACGGGCAAGTCTTAAACGACATTACGGACCTGTACCCAGCTTCGGAACCAAAATCCGAGCCCGATACCTAGGGAATCAATGATTACTTAGTTTCTTTAGTTCTTTAAAGCTTCAATTAAACAATTTTAAATAAAAATTCATTACTCGGGATAGGGACCTCGGAATTCGATTCCGGGCATACGCCCAGGTCCCATATTTTTCTACCGACCCTCAAAAATTGTCAAATTACGAATCCGGGTCCGTTTTCCCAAAATGTTGACCGAAGTCAAACTTGGTCCTTTAAGAAAATCTTAAAGAAGCAAATGGACATATTTTTACTCAAAACTCTTCCAACTCCCGAACCAATTGCCCCCGCAAGTCGTAAATTAGTTAAAGCAAGTACGTGAGGCTTTATTTAGGGGAACGAGGTTCAAACAGGTAAAACGACCGGTCGGGTCGTTATATTCTCCACCTCTTAAACAAACGTTCATCCTCGAACGGACATAGAAAAGTACCTGGACTGCCGAATAAGTGGGGATATCTGCTCCGCATGTCCTCCTCGGACTCCCAGGTTGCCTCTTCGACCGGTTGGCCCCTCCACTGGAATCTCAACGCAGAAATCCTCTTGGACCTCAGCTGGCGATCCTGTCTGTCAATAATAGCAACTGGCTCCTCCTCATAGCCCAAACTCTCATCTAACTGAATGGTGCTGAAGTCTAACACGTGGGATAGGTCGGTATGATACTTCCGAAGCATCGAAACATGAAAAACTGGGTGAACTCCTGATAAACTAGGGGGTAAAGCAAGCTCATAAGCAACCTCCCCAACTTGCCTCAACACCTCAAAGGGGCCAATAAACCTTGGGATCAACTTGCCCTTCTTGCCGAACCTCATAATGCCCTTCATGGGCGAGACTTTCAAGAGAACCTTCTCGCCAACCATAAATGATACATCCTGCGCCTTCTGGTTCGCGTAGCTCTTTTGCCTAGACTGAGCTGTGCGAAGCCTCTCCTGAATCAACTTTACCTTATCCAAGGAATCCTGTACCAAATCTGTGCCATGTAACTTAGCCCCTCCAGGCTCAAACCACCCGATAGGAGAACGACAATGTCGACCATATAAAGCCTCGTACGGGGCCATCTCTATGCTGGACTGGTAGCTTTTATTGTACGCAAACTCCGCTAAGGGCAAGAACTGATCCCACTGCCCTCCAAAATCAATCGCACATGCTCTAAGCATATCCTCTAAAATCTACACCGTCCGCTCCGACTGTCTGTCGGTCTGAGGATGGAATGCTGTGCTAAGCTCTACATGAGTCCCCAACTCACTCTGCACGGCTCTCCAGAAATGGGAAGTGAACTGAGGGCCTCTGTCTGATATGATGGACACCGGCACACCATGCAATCGGACTATCTCCCGAATATAGATATGAGCATACCTCTCTACTGTATAAGTAGTTGCCACTGGAATGAAATGGGCCGACTTGGTCAATCTATCCACAATGACCCACACTGAGTCAACCTTCCGCAAAGTCCGTGGTAGCCCAACTACGAAGTCCATGGTGATGCGTTCCCACTTCCACTCTAGTATGGGCATCTGCTGAAGTAGGCCACCTGGCCTCTAATGTTCATACTTGACCTGATGGCAATTCAAACACTTAGTCGCATACTTCACTATGTCCTTCTTCATCCCCGCCACCAGTACTGCTGCCTCAAATCACGATACATCTTCGTGACTCCCGGGTGAATAGAATACCGCGAACTGTGCGCCTCCTCTAGGATCCTCTCCCTCAGACCATCAACATTAGGAACACATAGACGACCCTGGAGTAGCAGAACACCATCCTCGCCCATAGAAACCTCCTTGGCACCTCCCTGAAGTACCGTCTCCCTGAGAACTGCCAAATGTGGATCATCATACTGTCGGGCCTTATTCTCCCCCAATAACGAGGACTGAGCAACCACACATGCTAGAACTCGGCTGGACTCTGAAATGTCCAACCTCACAAGCCTGTTAGCCAAGGAATGGACGTCCAGAGCTAGGGGTCCCTCCTCTGCTGGAATGAATGCCAAGCTACCCATGCTCTCCGCCTTTCTGCTCAAGGCATCCGCGACCACATTCGCCTTGCCCGGATGATAAAGAATGGTAATGTCATAATCCTTCAGCAACTCAAGCCACCTGCGCTGTCTCAAATTGAGATCCCTCTGCTTGAACAAATGCTGTAAGCTGCGGTGATCGGTGTAAACCTCACAAGGCACCCCATACAAATAGTGCCTCCATATCTTAAGAGCATGAACAATCGCTGCCAACTCCAGATCGTGCACAGGGTAATTTTTCTCGTGAATCTTCAGCTGACGCGAGGCATATGCAATAACTCGCCCCTCCTGCATCAACACACATCCCAAACCAACGCGTGAGGCGTCGCAATATACAGTATACATCCCTGTACCGGAAGGCAATACAAGAACTGGTGCCGAGGTCAAAGCTGTCTTGAGCTTCTGAAAGTTCTCCTCGCAATCATCGGACCAAATGAATGGGGCACCCTTCTGGGTCAGTCTAGTCAAAGGTGCTGCAATAGATGAAAAACCCTGCACAAATCGCCGGTAATAACCGGCTAATCCCAGGAAACTCCTGATCTCGGTCACTGAAGTGGGACGTGGCCAACTCTGAACTGCCTCAATCTTCTTGGGATCTACCTTAATACCCTCTCCGGATACAATATGCCCCAAGAATGCCACTGACTCAAGCCAAAACTCACACTTGGAGAACTTAGCATACAACTTCTGCTCTCGCAAGGTCTGAAGCACTACTCTCAAATGCTGCTCGTGCTCTCCCAGGCTACGCGAGTATATCAAGATGTCGTCAATGAAGACGATAACAAAGGAATCAATATAAGGCCTGAATACCCTGTTCATCAGATCCATAAATGCTGCTGGCGCATTGGTCAAGCCAAAGGACATCACTAGAAACTCATAATGGCCATATCTAGTCCGGAATGCAGTCTTCGGGACATCCGAGTCCCGAATCTTCAGCTGATGATACCCTGACCTCAGGTCAATCTTAGAGAACACCCTAGCACCCTGCAGCTGGTCAAAAAAATCATCAATACGAGGCAACGGGTACTTGTTCTTGATGGTGACTTTGTTCAACTGGCGGTAATCAATGCACATCCGCATAGTCCCATCGTTCTTTTTCACAAACAGCACTGGTGCGCCCCAAGGCGACACACTGGGCCTGATAAACCCCTTTGCTAACAACTCATCTAGCTGCTCCTTCAACTCCTTGAACTCCTTAGGGGCCATACGGTACGGTGGAATAGATATAGGCTGAGTGCCTGGGGCCAAATCAATGCAGAAATCAATATCACGATCCGGAGGCATGCCGGGATGATCAGAAGGAAATATATCGGCGACATATCGGACTACTGGCACTGAATCAATCGTCAGAGACTCTATAGTGGTGTCTCGAACATAAGCTAAGTAAGCCAAACACCCTTTTCCAACCATGTGCTGAGCCTTCAGGAAAGAGATAACCCTGCTAGGCATGTCAACTGTGGACCCCTTCTACTCCAATCTCGACAACCCTGGCATTGCTAGTGCAACACTCTTGGCATGGCAATCAAGGACGGCGTGATATGAAGATAGACAATCCATGCCCAAGATGACCTCAAATTGATCATGTCCAGCAACAAAAGATCTGCTCTAGTCTCGAAACCACAGAAAGTGACCGCACAGGACCGGTAAATCCGATCCACAATCACAGAATCACCCACAAGAGTGGACACATGAACAGGAACACCCAAAGGCTCAGGAGAAACAACCAGAAAGTGAGCGAACAGAGACGATACATATGAATAAGTAGACCCTGGATCAAATAATACCGAAGCATCCCTACCACCAACGAAAATAATACCTGTGATGACGGCATCTGAGGCCAATGCATCTGGCCTGGCTGGAAGAGCATAGAATCTAGCTGAAGCGTCGGCTGCCTGGCCTCCACCTGACTGGGGAGTAGCTGGCTAACCTCTCCCTGTCTGGCCTCCACCTCTAGGACGGCCTTTACCCGTATGCCCTCCACCTCTAGGTGGCTGGGCAGCTGGTGCCGGAGTTTGGGGCTGCTGACCCTGCTGTACCGCCTTACCCCGAAGTCTGGGGCAAGTCCTCCTCAGGTGACCCGGATCTCCACACTCGTAGCATGCTCTAGGCACCATAGCCTGCAGCTATAAAGTCTGAGTCTGCTGACCCGAATACCCACCGGAAGAACCCTGGATAGCTGGTGGATGATAGGAACTCTCTGGCATGGCGCTGAAAGGAGCACTAGAAGAATCCTGATATCCAGAATACCCGCCGAAGGAACCCTAAGTAGATGGTGGGCGGTAAGAAACCTCCGGCATCGCACTGAAATAAGGCCTCGCTGGGGCACCTCGGGGAGGGGGTGGTGGTGCTGAGTGTGAGGGCCTACTGGGCTGACCCCTCCCGAAGTGGCCTCTACCCCTGGCTGGGGCACCTCTGAACTCTCCTGAAAATCTGGCCCTCTTATCCTGCTGCATCTGCTCTCTACCCTCAAACGATAACCCTCAATCCTGCGAGAAATCTCAACCACTAGCTGGTACCCTGTACCCATCTCTACCTCTCGAGCCATACCAGACCAGATGGTGGGATGTAACCCCGCAACAAATCACCGCACTCTCTCTGCCTCTGTGGGAAGTATCATAAGTGCATGGCGAGACAACTCAGAGAACCTCGCCTGATAATCGGTCACTGACATCTGACCCTACTCTAGGTGCTCAAATTGATACCGCAGCTCTTCCCTCTCAGAGGGCGGAATGTATCGATCCAGGAATAACTGAGTGAACAGACCCCAAGTGAGGAGAGGAGAACCTGCTGGCTTTCCAAGTACATAGGACTGCCACCACCTACGTGCCCTGCCCTCAAGCTGAAAAGTAGTGAAGTCAACTCCATGCGACTCCAATAACCTCATGTTGTGCAGCCTGTCCCTGCACCTGTCTATGAAGTCCTGAGCATCCTCATGACGCTCACCCCCGAAGACTGGAGGGTGAAGCCTGGTCCATCTGTCTAATAACTTCTGTGGGTCACCATCCAAAGCTGGCCTGGGCTAGGGTGCCACTGCAGCAACTGGCTGAGCCCCATCTGTGAGTAGTGCACCCGAAGTTTGATATACTGCAGCTGCATGACCTGGAGCCTGAGCAGTAGGGGTCTGGGCTCCCCCTCCTGCCTGAAAAGTGGCTGGGTCTGGTGGAAATAAACCTGCCTGAGTCATAGTGTCCATGAACCGTAGCATGTGGCCCATGACCTCCTGAAATCCCAGTGCTGTCATGAAATCCGCCGGGGTAGGCTCAGCTGCGGGCACCTCGCCCTGCTCCTCAATAATAGGGTCCTCTACAGGATCTGCCGATGGTGCAACTGGAACGGCTCTAGGACGCCCTCGTCCCCTACCACGGGCCGGTGCCCTCCCCCGGCCTCTACCTCGGCCTCTAGCAATGGGGGCAGCAGCTCCTCCCGGGTCCGGAACGTCGGCGGTACGAGTTCTCACCATCTGTGAGAGAATAGAAGAGGGAAATTTAGTACTCTAAGCACTGCACGACAAGAAATGAATAAAGAGTAGTCTTTCCTAATACCTTATAGCCTCTCGAAGATAAATACAGACGTCTCCGTACCGATCAACAAGACTCTATCAGGTTTGCCCTTAACTCGTGAGACCTACGTGAACCTAGTGCTCTGATACCATGTTGTCACGACCCATTTTCACAATAGGTCATGAGGGCGCTTGACACCCTTGTCAGGCAAGCTGATTGCGGAAAACACTTCTAAAATACTTATGTTGCTTTTAATTAGAATAAGTGAAATAGACACTTAATTTGGAGTTTAAACCAGAAGAGCTGAATACTGTAATAATATAATTACACAATCCCAAAATAATCGTCTACCAAAGTGTGCGCCAGAACCTGGTGTCACAAGCTACAGGCAACTAGTAGAATATACATCCAAAAGAATATCACACTACCCTACTGTCTGGATATAAATAGACAGAAAATAATAATACAAAAGAAAGACTTCTTCGGCTGCGGATCGACATGGAAAGAAAGCAGCTCACCATAGAAGTCCCAAGTCCGCTCACGAATGCGCACCAGAGTGATAACCAGATCCACCTGCCTCAGACCCTGTACATTTAAGTACAGCAGCGTAGCATGAGTACATAAACAATATGTACCCAGTAAGTATCCCATCTAATCTCGAAGAATTAGAGATGAGAGGTCTACTTGATACTTACTAAGTCGAGTAAAATGAGAAGAATTTATAACAAGCAGTAATAACTCAGTTTATAGGAATTAGCAAGTACAAAACATCAATTCTTCCTTTAGGTTGTCATTACGAGTGTCCATATATACATTGAAGTAAATATGAGGCCTAACCCACATTAAAAGGGGTCACATAAGTCATGCGCATATAATCACCGAGGAACGTACGACCCGATCCAACATAAAAATAGTCATTGTGCACTGCCGAGGGTCGAACGGCTCAAACCATAGATGCATCCATTACCCCGCTCGCGAATCAACCATGCGACGCGGTCAGATAGAAATAAACTCATTGCCACGCAATATAAACAATCACTACACATATGAGGGTGGCCGTACAGAGAAATACCAATTATTTTCTTTTAAAAACCAAATAGGTTAAGGGTCATTTTCTAATTTCATTCTTCTTAATCACAAGAGTTCATTAAATCCCAGATAATCAACTATACTAGAATATCACGTAAAGCATGCTCATGGGTCCTAAACTACCCGAACTTAGCATGATAGTCGCTATGCACGGACTGTCGTCACCTAGTGCATACGTAGCCCCTAAATACAATGACAAATAATTCAATTATTATACCTATGGGGACAATTCCCTCTTACAAGGCTAGAAAGGAGACTCACCTCGCTCCACCGCGCACTTCCAATATCAAAAACAAGTCCAAGCCCTCAAGTCGGAGCCAAACGATCACAAACTAGTTAAAGGAAGTAAGAACTAGTCAATATAAGTTTACAAAAATCAAATTCTACCTATTTAAGCCATTTCCCAACCCTTTTCACAAGTTTCCAAAATTCCGACCCCGAGCCCACATGCCCGAATTCCGATATTTTTCGAAGGAAATTGTTCTCTACAACCTAAGGATCAATAATATATAATTTCTAGTTCATTACATAGCAATTTACATGCTTAAACCTAGGTCTAGCTCTAACCCTTGATTTTTACGTAATTTTAGTGTTTAATCTACCTAATGTTCATGTAATTAAACTAAGAATGGAGGGAGATCACATACCTTACAATACTATGTGGAAATCCTCTCTTTGGAAGCACCCAAATCGCCCAAGTGTGAAGTAGTGAGTGAAATAAATGACCTTGAGCTCGAATTAAAAGAGCTCACTGCCCAGCGGTTTCCGCTTCTGCGACTTGGGGACCGCATCTGCGGTCCCGCTCCTGCGGAAAGGAGGCCGCATCTGCGGCTCTGGGCTTTAAGCGACTGGACCGCTTCTGCGGTCTGAAGGGCGCTTCTGCGGAAACCGCTTCTGCGGTTCTGGCCCAATTTGGCTGGATCACTTCTGCGGTCGAATTTCCGCTAAAGCGGAACCGCTTCTGTGGTTTCATGATCGCTTCTGCGGTTTTCCCTGGGCCTGCCCTTGGCCGCTTCTGCGAATGCCTGACCGCATCTGCGGTCCCGCTTTTGCGGCCCTAGAACTGCAGATGCGGTTATGACAGAAGCAGCAGTTCAGCCTCTTCTTCAATTTTTTTAACTTCACACGAGCCTCGATCTTTTGACGCTCGAGGCTCCCGAGCCCCGCCCGAACATACCGACAAGTCTGAAATCACGAGGCGGACCTACTTGAACCCTTAGAACTCCCAAAACAACGCTAAATCTTAGAATCAGCCCCTAAAACCAAATGAATCAAACTATTGAATCTTCAAGTTCTTAATTCTCCTCTAACAGGTCAAAACGCCCTTAAACTACTCGGATTGGCACCAAATTTTACGGGCAAGTCTTAAACGACATTACGGACCTGTACCCAGCTTCGGAACCAAAATCCGAGCCCGATACCTAAGGAATCAATGATTACTTAGTTTCTTTAGTTCTTTAAAGCTTCAATTAAACAATTTTAAATAAAAATTCATTACTCGGGCTAGGGACCTCGGAATTCGATTTCGGGCATACGCCCAGGTCCCATATTTTTCCACGGACACTCAAAAATTGTCAAATCACAAATCCGAGTCTGTTTTCCCAAAATGTTGACCGAAGTCAAACTTGGTCCTTTAAGAAAAACTTAAAGAAGCAAATGGACATATTTTTACTCAAAACTCTTCCAACTCCCGAACCAATCGCCCCCGCAAGTCGTAAATTAGTTAAAGCAAGTACGGGTGGCTTTATTTAGGGGAACAGGGTTCAAACAGGTAAAACGACCGGTCGGGTCGTTACATTTATTTTGTTTACTAGCGTTATAATTCAGTGAGATTTTATCATATTTCGGTTACATCATTTATCGAGGTGAATTGGCATTAGCATCAAATTTGGTCAGTGTCATGGTAATTAGATTGAAATAAAGTTTGTTTTGAGGGACTTAAAAAGAGATATGGGATTTAACTGCTAATAGGCTTCAAGGATTCATTCATTATATATATATATATATATATATATATATATATATATATATATATACACAAAAAAAAAAAACATCAATAACATACTGATTTGGTTCATTGATATCAAGTGTCCATAAGTTGAGTTCTTTTCTTAATCAATAAACCAACTCTTTTTTTTACAAACAAATAAGTGGCCTAATGTCATGCAATTCCAATAAGCATAAGCCTAGCAAGTTCAAGCTATAAGTTAGTTAAATAAAATTCAATAGTAGTATATCCTCCCCTCTTGAATAATTAATTAAATATTTAATCTCTTTTCTTAATTAATTAGTGTAAACGCTAGGCAAATAGTAGGCACGCTTTAACTTCACGGAATCGCTTGCGTAGCGTGATGTTTACTTTAATAGATTTCAAAAAATTAATTTCTTCAAGTGTAGTAACTTTTTTTTTTCAGAAAGGTAAAAACGCACTAATAATCCTGGTCATAACTGCGGATTCGCTTGCGTAGCGCTGTTATGATAAAATTAATAAATTTTGTCTCGATCACGCATTCGCTCGCGTAGCG